ATAAGATGGCAACTGGTATCCAGATGACGCGCGAGGCCCTGTGCGATGGGCTGGACCACATGGCTCTGCAGCATCTGACGCTCATGGACCAGCTGATTAGAGTATGTGGCGGAAGTGTATCCTTCAGATTTATTATTTCACGAAAAGAATATGAAAAAAATCTTAACTCTTGTGTTTGTATTGATATTAGGGTCATTCAGCTTGCCAGTTTTGGACTAGCATGTTAAAGCTTGTACTGTTCATGTTGATTATTTCTGTAAAAGGATTTGTTTTCTTTTTATGTTTTTAGTTGATGCTTGGAATGTATACTTCTGTTTATTCAGCATGCTTCTTATGGACTAGCTTATTACAGCATTACTGCACAGTAACATACAGATGATGAGGGTTCTAAAGGATTGTTTTTCTTTTATTGTTAATGTTGTGGAATGTTCAGCAAACCTAATGTGTCTAAAAATTTCTGTAATGTGTAAAATGTGTAAACAGTGTACTAGGCTTTTGTTATTCTCATATCCTCATATATATCATTTTTTTTCAGGGATTATACACTTAAGTACATATTAGTCATAGACTTAGTTGCTTTTAGCAGCCGTTATATAAGGACCTGTGGCTCAGATATACGAGTATGGTAATACCTGGATGCGAGGTGAATGCATGTATAGGTTGAAGCAGAGGTGGCTATAGACTAACTCGCTGGTTAAAAGAAGAAGGTGGATGTCTGGCCAAGCAGCTTGCATGAGCAGGAGGTATAGAGCAGAAGGAGAGGGTATTTTGACGCCTCTTAGGATGGAGGAATGGCCTCGAGTTGGAGGAAGAATCTGGTAAGAAATAGTGATGTGTAACTCGTTAAAGAGAGGGACGTATTTTGTAGTAAGACCTTTTATTTTGTATTGGTAAATGCAAGGCTAGTAACTTCTGGTTTTCAAAATTTGACCAAGTCCATGTCACAGTTTTGCAAATTCTATTTTGATTCCTTTTCACTCTTATGGGTACTTTCACCATTAATGATAAAAACCGAATTACACATTTGCTTTTCATTTTATCTTTTTACAGATAGATTTATGATGTACTTTGAAAAATTAGAAGTACTGATAAGACCATTGCGTTGTAATTGTTGTATTCGTTCTAAATTGCACCAAATTAATGCTGATGTAGTGTTTTAGATAGAGCAAAAACAATTATTATTATTATTTTTTTAATCTTGTTGAGGGACTCTTGTCATTTTCAATATGCATTTAGTTAACCTTAAACTGATTCTAGTGAATCAAGACTGACTAGTCATTACATTTTATGACTCAAATGCTTCAAGTAACTCTTTGTTAGCACAGTGAGAGGGTGCCATATTCATTACACTGAGTTACATAGACAATATGAAGGATTTTAAAGCTGCAATGTCCAGAGGGTCATTCACTAAAAATAAGATTTGTTCTTTTTTTTTCCCTGTACAGTTGTTTGTTACATGCAGCCAGCAAAGGTCTTGTCATTGGTGGTGCTAATTTTCTGTGCATACTAACTGTAGTCTGTTTTCCCAGATTAATAGTACAAACTGTACTATTATTGTATTATAAATATTGAATTTTATATTGCTATTAGCATTGTAAGTACGATAATTATAATGTTAATAATACTAATAACAGCATTAATATTAGCATTAGCAGTAAAACATTAAAAAAAAGATCCTTAAATACTCGGGAAAGGCATATAAGAACTAATCCATTTCTTGATGGCTGAGCATTTTTGGAGCCATGTATGTGTAGATATATTTCACAATATAATACTACAGTAAATATCTCAATTTCCCAGCTGCATTAGATTATGGTGGTGTGAACAGTTATGATGATAACAAGATTGGAAAATGTTTTATATGGTTTTACCTATCAATGAAAATCTTTTCCAGGCAAGCCATTCTGTGGATCTTGTCTGTTTATTTCAATTGTTTATTTCAATCATTGAAAACCACTGGCCCAGCCTGTGGAATGAAAAAATAGTCAGTTATTGATAGTTTGATTATGTGAAAGTTTTAGTCAGGAGGGCATACAATCATGTGATTTGAGAGTCCCTTTTTGATATTGTGTCATTTCTTTTCTGACTTCTTAATTTGCTGGTATGAGGTTTTCCCTGGAGGTTGAACAGTTGAATTGCCAGAAACACAGTATTTAGCTTTTCTGCCAAAATGACATGAATGAATTTTGTTGATTTCTTAGGCTTGAAATATACCAGGCAGTATGTAGATTATGATTAACAATGTGCATATAGCATCTCAGAAACTTAGTGTGATTCAATTTGATGAACTTTGATTGCAATTTATTCTATGCATCCTTTTTGTGAGAGCACCCCTTTACCCCTGGGTACCTCATATAATGGGCACAGAAGTATAGTAGTAAGGAAAGTCATGGGATTATTAAGAACTCTCAATGTAATGTGTAGTAAGTATATCAGTCTGTTCAATGCAAAGCCCTTTTTGGTTTATAGATATATAGATATAGATAGATTTGATAAGTATTACATTATTCAGTAACATTGTGTGGTATCCTCTTGTGTCTTATATCTTGATTATATCATTTTTTCTCTAGCTTTTCCTTTTTCAGGGTTCTTAAAGAAATGCAGCATTTGTTTTTATTTTTACAAATTAATTTGGAGAAAGAGGAGTTAGGAGAGCATATAGAAAAATGTAATGAAACTAGACATTTTATTTTTGTCTTATGATTGTGTTATTACTCTTGAATTATGGAAATGCTTGTAATAACATATTATTATGACTCATTGTATCTCTGTATATAGTGTTCATGATATTAATATAGTTTCAGGAATAATATTTTAGGGGACAGTGCACAGACCTATTGGGAGGTTTTATTTTACTCATCTGGAGATTTTGCATTAATCCCATTGATGTATGAATGTGGAATGTTATGTCCATGTGCAGTGACTGGTGGATGCCATTTTTGTGGTCAACATCATATTTCTGGTGCTGTGAGCTGGTTGTATTACAGAAATTTGAAAATTATGTAAAAAAAAAAAAAAAGGAAAGACAAATAGCATTGTGTTACATAGTTTTCTTTTTCTTACACTGAGTTGTAGACTACCTAGAGAGATGACTGGAGTCTGTACAAAGAAAAAAACTATTAGAGTCTGGATAATGCAAGTCAATTGGCAAATATCAACATAGGAAAATGGCCAAAAAGCTAAAAATGCTTATGTGTAAAAAGAATAAATAACAAATAGGAGGCATAGAGTCTTGTCACTACATACATGTGTCTGTGCGTGCCCGGCCTGCAAGCAACCACCCAGCTGAATGGCCTGTCATGTAAGCGTAATGCCTGGATTTTTGATGATTTGATTACTGTGTTGCAACCAGATCCAATGGGTTAATTACTAGCATTTCATCTGTAGTGTTAATATACTTTGATATTTTAAGTGAATGCTGATAATTACTAAGTAATTTTTTTTCCTGCATTTTAACAACTTTTTTTTTATTGTAATGTCTTCTACGTTAAACACAACTGATAATTATTAGCATTGCCCAGTCAAATTTGGTAATTCATGTATAAATTATTTTTCTTCTAGAGGCTACCACGGATATCAATCTCTTTGTTGTTTTCTGTTGTAGAGGTTGTTGATGAATACTGTTTATTTAATGAATGTTATGTTTTGGATGAATCTTGTGGTTAGGATGAGTGCTGTGCTTATGAATATTGCAACCTGTTTTTGCACTCTTAGATGTTTTCATTTTCATTTTTTTCATGCACTATCTGTGTATCAGAGGAACTTAGTCCTTTAGGCTTGAATTAAATTCTAAAATCTAAATCATGATGTGTAGATTCATAATGATGGTCTCCTGGAAATATTCTAAAAGAAAAATATTGGAAGGACTAGGACTATTAACTATTAACCCCTGGGATCTAGATGCTGCATTGCCTGCACATGGCCCAAAATTTGGGTAAATTTGGGCATTAGGCTTAAATGAACGGCCACTTTGACAGGTGTGTGGCATTATTTGTCATTTGAATTGCTTTATCCACATGGTAATAAACTCTGTATCATGACTCAGGGCAGTAATGGTAACAATAATTAATATATTGTTATTCGTCATAAGTCACGGATGGTATATTTTGTACTTTATTGTATATGGAAATCAGCTTCTTCCCTAAATGTCCACTGAGTGTAATCACCCTCCAAAATCTTAGTTCACACATGGCAAGTCATTCTTATCACCCTAGTCTTCAGCTGAAATTCTCATAACAGCAAGTTCCTGTCATCCCGGCTGTCAGGAATTTTTTTCCATGATGGCATGCTCATGTCACCTGCCCCTTAAACCAATTTTTTTCACGACAAGATGATTATGTCATCCAGATCATAGGGGTTAAGATTAGGTGGATTTAAAGTTAAATTTATAGTTGTAGGCGGATATTTAATCTAAAGATTACTTATAATAAGACTATCTTTTGGTATGGAACACATTTCTAGAAAAGGAAAAGTCTTTTTGAATTGTTTTTTGATGTACATGTAGATCCTAGGATGGTCATCACAGCATGTACTCTGTTGCACAGCTACAGAGGCCTAAAGTTACTGAATCAAGATGAAAAGACAGACAACCTTATCAGGAAATTGCTCTTTGTTAAGCCCTATGATCCAGATGATATGACCATCATGTCATGAAAAAATTTGGCTTTAGGGGTGGGTGGTATGAACATGCTGTCATGGGAAAATCTGGCTGTGGGCCGGGGTGATGTGAACTTGCTGTGGGGAGGATTTGGGCTGAAGACCGGGGTGATGAAAATGACTTTCCATGAGTGAATCGAGCCCTTGGAGGATGATAGGACTCGTCTGATGTTTAGGGGGACTTTTGCATTATTTCCATTGATAAATGAGTGTGGAATGTACAATATGTGAGTCATGGTGGAAGAGAACTGGCTCCAAGGAGTACTCTATTTCCATGCTCAGGATCCTGTTCCTGGCTGCCTTGACCAGCAGCTCGGGTTGTATTACAGAAAATTGAATATTATGAAAAAAAACAAAAACAAATAACGAATGTTACTTATTGTTATTATTACTGCACTGAGTTATGGACTACCTAGAGAGATGATATGGAGTCTGTGCAAGGAAAACAGCCTATTTCCATGTGGATAAAGCAAATCAAATGACAAATATAGGAATTGGGAAGTGGCAAAAAAGCTAAAAGTGCTTATACAGAAAAAGAAAAAAATACATTGCAAAGGGGTGGCATAGAGTCTTGTCACTGCATATGAGTGTTTGCATGTGCTTGGCCTACAAGCTCCTGAGAGTGGCTGCTCAAGTAAGCCCAATACTGATATTTTGGGCCACGTGATGGCAGTGAAGCATCCGGATCTAATGGATTAATGCCACGCAGTTTACTCTTTTGCCAGGTCAGGGCACAAAAGATCCCATCTTCATCATTGGCAACTTTATAAGAAGTATTTAGTTACCAGTAAGCAGCTATATTTTGGAAATCAGAGACCTTCAAAAGGCTGTTGACCAAATCTCTTGAAAAGTTTTGTGGACCATGTGTGAAATAGGAGTGGAGAAATGACTGGTACAGCTGGTGAAGTACTGTAAGCAAAATTGGTGATTCATACAACAGTGTACTTGAAGTGAAGGTGGGAGATCACAAAGGTTCAGTCCTTAGCTTTCTACTGCCTGTGATATTGCTAGAAGACCTGTCTAAGGATTTCTGAATTGAAAACTCTATGTAGATCTGTTCATATTGACAGAAACTCTAGAAAGGAGAAAAGTGCTCTGGAAAGTGGGCTTGGAGAGCAAGGGATATTGAGTCACTGTGAAGACCAAGATTATGATTACAAGTGTGGATTACAATATTGTAATAGAAGCAAGTAAATGTCCTTGCTCAGTCTTTGATGTCAGAGTCAGCAGCAACTCTATTTTTGGAGGCCGCTCCCTCTGGGGAGATTTTTGGCAGAAATGGAAATCAGTCCAGAAACACTTGAAGTAATGGTGTCCTACTATTGTGGTGCCATCAGCTGGTAGTAACAGTTAGTTGGTTTCCCTTACAAGGATCAAGATTGCTTAGAGAAAGTTCAAGCATCTGCTACATATCCTTACCACTCGCAGCTTATCAATGTCTACAAGGTTGTGTGTCTATCAACTATCATCTGTGTCTATCATCTGAAAAACACTTATCTGCATGCAAGGAAGACCTGGGCATTCACATTTACTTGTACAAGATCCTGCAGTGGAACAGTAATGCAGTGAATTGTTATTTATCAAGTAATCAGCATAATTAACAGCTCAGTTCTGGTGATCTTGGTACAGAAACTGAGGATTGCTGATTCTCTTTGAGAGCCTACTGGAACATGGTATTGAGATGACATAAACAAGTCAAAATTATTTAATTTGCGAATAAGAATGTACCATTTAGACCTAAGAAGACCTGAGAAGAGACTGTAAAGAGAAATAGATGAAATAATTGTTGTTTCCCATGATTTGTCAGTCTGGAATAGGGCTCCTAGATCCTGTATCTTGGATGAGGATTGTGGATGATGATCATGATGATGATGAATATGCAAAAATATTTACAAGTGATGATAGATGAACATGAGAATGATGTGTGGGAAGCTTTTCTTGACTAGAGAAAAAAGTCATGAATAAGAGACAGAAGAGGTAATTTTGTCCATAACAATGAGAATTTAGATGCCAGTTAAAAGTATTGTGTTTACTGGGTCAGTGCTTGTAGAGGACAGACAATTGAATTCACATGTCAGCTCCATCTTGCTCTATAGATTTGAGGCTAAATGTGTGGAAAGCTAGAAAGTAGTGACCTGGTGTAGGGGGCTGTGCCAAAGAATGCCTCTTTATAGTTATGGATTTGCTAAAAGCTAACTTGACATATTTGTTAATACAATCCAACTTGGATCAACTTGCCACTTGTTATATCACTCTGTTAATGGTTGTTTTGTAATGGAACTATGTACCATCATTATATTTATTTATTTTTTTCTTTTCAGACAAAGATGATCTTAGAAGAGCATATGCGAAGTGGCTTCTTCTTGCTGGGCAAAACTCGCTACGTCCTGGGTTGCAATGCCATCAGTACCTTGCAGTTGCCGTCAGAGGAGAGAGAAGTAGATCCCCTCGTGTCAGTCGTCTCGACACCGGTCAGGATTGAAAGATACGATGGGGAAGTCATCTACCAGGAGATGAACACGGAATTTGCAGATCCTGTTGTGTCTCTCCCTGTTGAGGTGGAAGAAGACAACATGTCCGATATGTATACCCAGGAAGATGATCCTGTAGAAGGGTTAAGGCAGAGGATCTCCAATTTACAAGGAGAACTGCCTGAAGACAGAGAAGAGGGTGACAGAGAACAGTATAGTACAGATCAAACTAAAAAGAAAGTCGTTAACAGAGATCCTATCAGATGGTTTTCAGTTTTGCCACCACAGACTCTCAAACAAGCGCAGACGGATTTCAAGACTGCAATTCAAATAAGTGCAAAGTGTGCCACTTTATTAGGACAGTTAAAAGCAGTGTGTAACGAGTACAAGCGGCTGGCTAAAATCAAGTCGAAAATTGATAACATCGAGAAGGAATCTTGATCGTTGTGGCTCGACTATGAGGGGTTGCTCAAGGAGAGGGAAAAAGCGTACTTGAGACATTCACATTCCTAATGGTAAAGGTTATTTGCAAAGATTTTTATGGTTTTAACCCCTCTGGGAAGGTTTTGAGTTTGCTTTTAGCTTCAGGATAGTTAATGAAGTCTTTAATTTTCAGTTCTGATATACATTCCATAGTACACAATATAGCTACAAACATCTGCAGATTATAATTAACTATGAATATACTATAGCTATAGAAAAAAGGAGAAAACAAGAGAATAACAATTATAATCCTCTCTTACTCTTCAGAAGATAGCCATGCACTCTCAGAGTATGTGATACAAAAATAAATTAACTTATACAGGTATTTAAAGATAAAGTAAAAAAAATAAATCACATACAGATATGTTTAAGGGAGATGATAGATCTTTATTTTGTACTGTCACCATTACAAGGCCTTAATGATACTAATGATAAGAGGATAAGAAGACAAGGTAGAGCATGGACACTTGTATAACTTGCACATTAAAAGATAAATGCAAAAGGGTTTGAATATCCTTGTTCATCCGAAAAGTTTTCTCGGTGACCAAATATTGATTAAATTTTTTTTTCTAAATATGTCTTATATTTTCAGTCTTAATTTAAGGACTACAAGGTAGATATATATTTATGTGTTTTAATACCATATACAGAATTGAACGAGAAAATTGAAAAATTCATATAAATTATGTTCATAGGCACACATCAGATTTGGTGTCAGATGGTTAATGTTAAAAGTGATAATAGATAGCAAATTGACAAATAATACAAATGGAACTTTGAGAAGGTACTTTACTTAAAAACAAAACATAACTGAAATGCAATTGTAGTACAGTATATAAAATTACACATATTAAAAAAATAATGATCTGCCTATTTATAAATCCCAGTTCGTAATATTAAGCACTGTAAGATGGAGACTCAATGCCTATTATTCAGGAATAATTGGATAATAATATGATATTAATAAAGCAGAGCAAAATCACCAGATACAGCCGTCTGTCTGGTAGTTTTCTGCTGGCTATGGACGGACAACCCTTTCAGACACCAACATCCGCTTGGGTACATCGACGCTCAGTTAGCTGGTCAGTTTGATTGTGTGGAAGAGACCTAAAAGAGGCTATGGAAAGGCAAAAATGAGAGAAAAAGAAAAGAATCTGGAAATTCCTGGGTAGGTAAAGGTAAGATATTAAGAGAGTAACATTTATATTGTAAGTTACATGGGTAGTCTTTTCCAGCTCTGTAAGTAGCACAACTTCTTTGCGCAAAATGGGAAGTTTTAGATATTGCAGTGAATTGCAATGGAATACATTTTTATAGAATTATGTAAAAGTATTATAATTGTATAATTGGAAAGATAGAAACATCTGAATTGAATAGAGTTAAATAGTAGAAAAAAAAGTGTTTTGTATGCCATGTGTTACAAAGGTCTTGCAGTTCTGTATAGTTACTTAATGACAAGCAAAGATGAGAAGGTAAGAAAGGAAATTATGTTTATTGTGTCATATGAGGAAAAGAGAAGTATCATATGATCATGTCCATTGAAGAGCAAATGAATTTAAATACTTGGAAATATCTATAAAATTAGGGGATAAGAGCTTAAACTTTAGACTTATTGTTACTTGAATGGTTTTAACAAATGCTTTTTGAATTAACTTATCGTATCAACGACATATCATGGTGGAATATGGTGCTATAGCTAAATGTCTTAAAACGTATAAGTAAATAAAAAGTTGGTTTTCATTTGTAATACCTTGAGATTATGGATTATTTACTTCAATTTTGTGAAATGTAGGGTCACTGCATGTATCAGTTTTAATAGCATTTTGTAGTGCAGTAGTATACAATTATTTCAGATAAAATTGATATGCTTGATCAAAATATACCCCCCCCCCCCCTAATCCCTTGCTCATTGTTGTTGCGGGAGGGCTTAGGAGACGGAGACGGAGACCCAACGTAAGAGATCACCCGTACCTTGGACCTCAGCCCTTACCTCCACTAATTTTGCATGGTCTTTTCTCCTCCCCCTCCTTTCCTTTCCTTCTCTTCTTCATCATCCCCGTCTTCTGTCCACTTCCTAAAGATGTAAGAGCCGTGCTGAAAGGATGAAAGTTTGGCCTTATGTCAATCGTGAACGGCCTCCGGGAGCCATGGGCTTGGCGTTCCCTTGGTTGATTGTCAAACCTTTGGGGACCCTGAGGAGTAGGCCGTTTCCTCTCTCTATTTATTTCAGGCTCACCATGGCCAGTAATGAAATTTTTTTACCCTTATTAGGGGCATTAAGGCTTGCTTGATTGTATGGACTAATCTTCCATCACATATATGAGATACCTTATCTCTTCCATCTTTCAAGAGGCTTCTGAAATTGCGTCTATTATCGCAGTATTAAGTGTCCACTCTGTGAACATATCAATGAATCATAGTGTTTATTCAGTATCTTTTCTTTGCCATTAACTATTAACTTATAAAATGCCATGAAACTGTGTGCATAACCTTGTTTTGTGTAACTACCAGTGAGCTGCCCGAAGAGTGTATCTACATTCTGGAGACTCAGCCACTACTTTCTTGTAAACTATACTTTGTAATTTATTTCTTTGAGGCTTAATAAACATTTTCGAATTTGAATTTGAATTTGAACTAGCCTATCTAAATTTTATTTCATTGGTTTCCCTACCCCTGCCTCTCCTTTGGCTACAGCTCCGACTTGATGCTAATACCCCCCTCGATGTTAGCTATCACCTCTATCCATTCCAAGTCAACCACCCAGGTCATTATTCATCCTTCAGAATACACCCCTTTCTCTCTCCCAGCATCTACCAATCCATCTTTTACTGCACAGTCTACTTCATTGTCTACACCCACCCCCCTTATTACTACTCTTCATCCTTATGGTACTACCTCTCTTCACCTCCCCATTTTCCTCCTGCCCTCGTCCTTCTACTACTTCCACCTCTGTCAACCTTTTGAGTACTCTTTTTGGCCCAGCCAAGTGGGATTGATTCTTTGTGATTTCCCCTACAGCCCCATACTCTGACAATACCCTTCTCTTCCAACAAGGTCCAAAAACAAGTAGATAAAGTTTCCTTTCGCAGTTGTTCCGATTGTTCAAGTCTTGTCACAGTTACATCTGTGTTCCAAGCTCGTGCACTATCTACCCTGACTGACCTCGCTGGTAAACCTATGCTTGCCCAACCTCACTCCTCCCTTAATACTTGTATCGGAAATGTTTGCATCTCTCCAACTGACTGTCCTGTCTAATGACCTCTTCCCCATTAATGTAAAAAATGTTGGCATTTTGGCCACCCAGCCAAACATTGTCGCTCAACAGCCTAGTGCCCTCTATGTGCCTAACCTGGTCATGACTGTTCAAATTGCTCTGCTCAGTCATGCACGTGTGACAATAGTGGTGGCCCCCATAATATATTTTATGTGAGCTGCCCTGCCTACAAGCTTGAATCTGAGGTAGCAGTTCTCAGATTCAATCTAGGCTTTACTTAACGTGAGGCCAGACAAGAAGCACGCCAATGAAGTTTTTCTCCTTCTATCCATTCCAAAACTATACTTTGCTCTGTCCCCCTCCCATCTCAAGAAGTCTCAACACCTCCCTCAGTATCTCTACTACCTTGCTCCCCCAGTCAAATTCCTTTTCTAGTCTAAATCCAGATACTCCAATCTCTACTGCTTCCCTAGTGCCTACCCCTCCCCCTACTTCTCACTCTACCTGTTGTACCAGACAATCTAAACATTCCACTCCATCTTCTACCATCTTCTCTCCCTCTGCTCCTTGGATATCTATTCCCTCTTCTGCTCCACATCAAAAAACCTTTGTTTCTTAGACCTCCCCACCTAACTCCCCTCCAGAAACTCTTGAAGGCCTCCAAAAGTTCATTAACATGACTCAAGAGAATAATCTATCCCTTCATCCACCCTCTAATCCTTTTAATAGCTCTACATTCAAAACATCTGCCGACATCCATCTTCCTCCTCCTCAAGTTCCCCCTACCTCTCTTCCTCCCACTCACCCAAAAACACCCCATTCTCTCCTCCTCCATTTGCATTGCCATATCCCCTTCCTTCCCCATTATCCTTACCATCCCCACTTAGATTCTCACATGTCTTTCTGCAGATCCTGATGTTCTTCCTGATACTTCACCACCTTCCCCTGTTCCCTTATTTCATTCTCAGAATTCTACTTTTACAACTATTGTTTCTTACCGTATCACCTTTTGATTGTTTTATAATAACTCTTTTGCACTTCCCACATACTGTGTTACTCTCCCTTCCTCAAACACTCTCCGTTTGATCTGATCGCTCTATACCTTTAATCAAATCTCCTTTTACAAATCCCTTCTGTCTACCGTTTTCTCCACCTCCATAGCCTTTTCACTAATATTATATCCTACAGTTTTCTACAACCTTTGACATCCAATACATCTTAGCCTGATCATTAACTCATTTCCACCCTTTTCAATACTTTACCATGGTGTCATGTTACCTTTGATGTCTAGCACATTTATTTCTTCTAACCATTAATCATTAGTCATAATATGGTGTTTAGTAATAAACAAAATATAATTGTAGATTGTAAGTTATAGCAGATCATGAAAATGAGTTTTATCTTACCATATAACATTTGATTTAATTTATTTCAGTTGTTACTATGGTTAATCTTGGCATGACAGGCTGTTTATTTAATTTTGCTTCTAAATTATCCCCTGTGTGCAAGGAATGGCTGGGGTTATCCACTGGCAGCTTGAGATTTGAATGCAGGTCAGCAAGATTGCTAGATGAGACTCGTACCACTGCACCACACGGCACACAAGTTGAATGGATATATTCTATACACACACACACACACAAGAATATGATACTTAAGTAGCACTTTCCACTGAGTTCTGTCTTTCTTCCTCCTGATAAGTTCAGTGGAGCTTATATCTGATTATTTTTGTGTACTACCACATGGTAGGGGTCTCTGTAGTCTCAGTTTTAAATAGGCAGTGAATTTCTCAATTGGAGTCTAGTCCTCTTTCTGATCCAAGAAGTTACAGATTTCCTTCTTTATAAGCTGAATAGCTTGTTTCTTTGAAGTTTGTTTGATTGATTCTTTTGTGCCAAAATACTTTTATTTTGAGGTTTGGTTGTAAGTTCTGTTTTTGTCTTACTGATAGCAGATTTTAAAAAATCCTTTTGAATGAATACCACACTTGATAAGTTTCTGACCATTTCCCTTCATTTAATGATGTTTGTTAACCATAACACTATCAGCTTCAGGAAGGGAGTTTACTGTGGAGTTTTGTGTTCTTATTGATTACAAACTAAGAAGAATTTCCTTCTCAAATAAAACCATGCTTTATAGTTTCTGTAAATTTTCTCTTGACTAATTTGTTTTTATGATTTCTCTGCAGTTTTCCTAAAATTGAATATTTTGTTTCATTTGATGCCTGTGAGCCTCAACACTTTTAGCTCGAAGTTGGCAAGGAATTCTGCCTTCATTTTAAACCCATTAATTTGTTAAGATTTTCTTACCTTTTGCAACATAACTCTGAGCTCTGACAAACCAAAGGAGACACTACTTTTACTCAGAGACAGGCAAGTATTTTACCTCGTTAAATTTTCTCTCTGTAATCAGAATAACCGAAATCTCCTTCCTTCCCCAACGTGATGTCATATTGGAGAATTCATTATTTCCAGGCCAAAGGTGAGGTTTGGTGTTGCTGAGGAAGACCAGGTGAGGAATGAGGGGAAAACGGGTAGATCACTCACTCAGTCTTGTTATTTTGAAAGGGCTCGCTTGATATGTTCAGATGGTTGATTTGCGCTATTATTGTGTCTGTATAAGGATGGTTATGGTGGTGGTGGTGGTGGTATTGGTGATAATGGTGGTGATGGTAATAATGGTTATGGTGATGGTGATGATGGTATTGATGGTGATGATGGTGATGGTGATGGCAATGGTGATGGTGGTAATGGTAGTAATGGTGATGGCAATGGTTGTGATGGTAATGGTGGCGATGGTGATGATGGTGGTAACGGTAATGATAATGATAATGATAATGATAATTGATAATGATAATTAATGATATTGCTAATTATAATAGCAATTTTAATTGCAATTTTGATTATAATAAGGATAATAAAAATAGCAGTGATGATAATGATGCTAGCAATAATGGTGATAGTAATAATAATATTAATTGTAATTAGTATATTAATAATATGAACAGTTGTAATGATAATAAAGAAATTATAGTGGTATATCTGACGAAGATGTAATCGAAACCGGTCAAATACATCTTTCACAGTGAAGATATTAATTCTCATCATTACATTTTCTATGTAATAATAGTGATACCGCCCCCCCCCCCCCCCACGAATCCCTTGCTCGTTGTTGTCGTGGGGGGGAGGGCGGGCTTAGGAGACGGGGAGGGAGGCCTAGAGCAGGGTCGTTTTTTCTCCTTTCCTTTTCCTTCCCTTCTTTATCCCCTTTTGTTCTGTCCACATATCCTAATCGTTAAACTCATTTTTTTTTGCCGTTTTCGCCACAGTGCTTGTATTATAATGCTTTCTATTCCCTTAACTCTGTCCCTTTTTAATAGCCATTACCTTATACTATACCCCCAATCAGTTCTCTCTCTCTCTCTCTCTCTCTCTCTCTCTCTCTCTCTCTCTCTCTCTCTCTCTCTCTCTCTCTCTCTCTCTCTCTCTCTCTCTCTCTCTCTACCCTTTTCACTACCATACCACCCTCTTTAAGTATTGTTCAACCTGTAACTTTACTCCAATCATTAACTCGTTCCTAACTAATCCTTTTCGCTACTCTTAATTTGTCATATAGCGCCATTTGGCCTTTGATGTCATATAGCACTTTCTTACCCGAGGGCTTTGGTGCCATACTTCACGCTATCACTGTATTCTGAATGCGACGCTAATGACCTCAGGTGTTGACGCGGCAGAAATTTTTCAATAATTAAATGAATGATAGTGATGATAATGATAATGATAGCAGTAATGATGAAAATAGTAATGACAGCTTTTATATGTCTTAACTACAAGTAATAACCAATGTTAACAATAACAGTATAAAAATGACAAATAATAATATCAGTATTAATGGCAAAGGCGAGGACAACCATTATCATCATCAGTCATTGTTGTGATGATTATGCTAATTATTGTATTAAGTGTCTGGAAACTGACAACATCCTCGCCATCTAGATCAAAACACGAGAGGAAGCGATGGTGATAAAAATAAGAATAAAAGAAATGATAAAAAAAACACCACAGATAGGAAGGTAAGTTTATTAATGGAGGAAGGACCTGGAATGTGAATGAAAGACGAGAAGTGAAGTAAAATTAGAGTGTAAGCTGCCTGCTGAAGTTTTGAGAGAGAGAGAGAGGGAGAATCTGTGTGTGTGTGTGTGTGTGTGTGTGTGTGTGTGTGTGTGTGTGTGTGTGTGTGTGTGTGTGTGTGTGTGTGTGTGTGTGTGTGTGTGTGCGAGTGCGAGTGCGAGTGCGTGTGCGTGTGCGTGTGCGTGTGCGAATGTGTGAGTGTGTGAGTGTGTGTGCGTGATTGCGCGGCGTGTCTTGCGTGCGTGTACGCGCATGTACGCATGTGCGTGAGTTTGTCC